GGAGCCGGGGTGAGCAGCGTCCCCACGCATCGGCGCGCTCGGGAAGCAGTGACCTCGGAAGGTAAATCAGCATTCTGCACTCCACTGCAGCTGTTAAATCTGAATTTGTGAATGGCTTTATTTGGTCCAAAACTTCATATTTTTTAATGATGAATAAGCGCTTGGCTTCAGGAGAGTTTCCTTGGCTTTTCTTTCGACACACAGCTTAGCACACGGGCTGCTGGATCATGCCCTTGTCCTGAGTCAGCCGCGCTCTTACGCATTCCTTACTCATACGTGTGTCGAGGCTGCAGCAATGCCCAGAACGCAGCGTTTAAGCTGCCGCTCAGTCTTGAAGATTTTTTTTTTTTTTTAACAACCAGAAATCTCCGAAGGTTTCCAGGCACGCAGAGCTGTGCGGGGCAGTGAGGTTTCGACGTTTTGAGGCGTGGAGCATCAGCTGTTTTAAAGCAGTTTCCCGTTTTGCCGGTAGCACCAACTCTCTGCTCCCGGAGGAGAGAATCCCCGATCCTCGCCCCTGGGTAACCTCAGCGAGCAGCTTCAGATCGGCCTCGTCGCGGTCCCCGCGCAGGCAGAAGCCTTCGCTGGCGGCCGGTTCGGCATCGTGCAGCCGGTGTGATGCTTCCTTCCTCCGAGCGGGAAGATCGCAAGGAAGAAAACCGGCCCGCGGGCCTGCTGCTACCTCCTCACCCGGGAAGGGCATTTTTTCCTGTTAAGACCAAATATTCTCAGTGTGTAACCTGGCTCTCAAGGGTCAGCTCTTCGGCAAAAGCCATTGGAGGGATATTCTGCCGAGTCCTCCCTGGGGCTCAGGTGGGCGTAAGGTAATGAGCCTGCGAGTGAGTTTGTCCTGTGCTCCTGACAATCTCACCCTTCAGCGGAAGGCAAACACATAGACTCACCTACGAGATTGAGTATAAAATTATACTCCGTCAACTCTAGGCAATGGAGCCTTGTTGTGAGACAGCCCCGTTCCTTAGGAGCGGGATGGTTCTGCTCAATACTGACGGAGTTACAAAACCTGGTTGTGGTCCTCCTCCGGAATCCAGCTCTTAGGGCAGATGTTCGTGGGGTATTGAATCGGCTCTTTGATGTCTCAGTTGTCTGGGCAATGCCGAAGATCATTCTCGATGCTGAGTCCGGGCAAATCGGTGTTGTTTTTGGTTCCACGCCCGCAGAAGACGTGCTGCCGCGTTTTCAGCCGCGTTGGAAATGCGATCGCCTTCCTGTGTTTGGCGTTGGTTCATTGTGCTCTGTACTCGTAAGTCACAAACCTCGGCTCTGAGGGGGTTTTAAAGGTCTTTGATCTTTTGCTTCACAGCATTAATCCTGTTTGTCAGGAACACGGATTTGAGCCGGTGTGTCCTGTGGTTCCGACTCGGCCACATCAGTTGATTTGGCACGGACGTGCCTTAGGGCCGCTCAGACTTTTGATCTGGCTCAGAGGAAATTGCATTTGAAGTGTGGCGCAGCGATGCTTTTGCACTTGAAAGCTGCAAGCGTAGATCTCCGTGATGGTTTTTCATTCATTCCTGTGCCCACTGAGTTGTTCCATGTGTCTCCTGGTTTCTTCACCAGACCTTGAAGACAAATGGATCCTCCCTTTGGACTCTTCCAAGGCTTCCACTCCGTAACCTGACTTACAGGGCCAGTGCAAGCACCTCTTGCATGCAGGGGTACGGATGAGGACTTCTCTCTTTCATAGTTCTCTTGTTTGGCGGGCACGTCCCTCTCCAGTAGTCGCATCTTTTCAAGCCCATCATCTGCCCTTAGTCTTGGTGGCGGGTGTCTGACGAGAAGGCTGGACGACAGCGGCATAACGCATCCAGCGTGGGTAGCTCCGTTGGCTTTCGGCAGCTGTGGTTTGGAGCGCGTGGTTTTGCACTTCTGAATTCAGAACAAGCATCTTGCGTGCCCGTGCTGCCTGGAGCCTGGTCAGTCGTGGTTGGGGATGCCCGGAGAGGGCCATCCGACGGCCGCCTGGGAGGGGAGAGGCGCCGGCTGCCAGGAACAAGCAGCGCTCCGGGGTGGGAAGGGGGTCCGAGGGGAAGCGGGGTGTCTTTTCCCTCTGGAGACGGAAAGAGAAGTGGCATGGCTGCTCCGCCGCTTCGCGGGCCTGCGACTGGGGCGCTGCGGCAGCGGTCGACGTCTCGAGCAGTTGCAGGTCCTTAGGAAAGCTTCCGTATGGCTCGCTCTCGAGGGGGAAGTAATCCTATTTTATAGATTGTGTTTGAAAAGTGGAGGCAGATGTTCTTCACGTGGTGCGCTCCGCAGGGACTCGTGGCAGATTAACCTGCAGTAACCCACCCTGAATGGGGACTTACCAGTCTTTAAGCCAGAGACTGAAGATTTATTATCGTCGCTGAAACGTGTATCGTGTCTGTCTTGGAGAAAAATTCCCGCTCTGGCTTTGTTGACTTGACGAGTTTCTTCCAAAGCTGTAGCTGCTGCTGGCTTCGCCTGCCAGGCCAGCTGGGAGCAGGAGAATTCCTGGCTATATTTAGAGGAAACCTGGAGCGTGTGCCTCACCGTGAGCGCCGGTCCGGTCCGCGCCGCCTGCAGTAACCTCTCCCTCTTTCACTTTCTTCAAGGTAACAGAAGATAAGAGCACAGCTGTTCTCCTAGAGGGTCACGAAGTCTGTAAACACCCCGGCGTGCTCCCCAGGAGAAGCTGGAGGCTGCCGTGCGCATGGCAGGAGGAGGAGGTTCCTTGTCAGATTGCGCTGCTTTCCATCTGGGACAGGCGACAGGCGCCGGGATGCGGAGTCGGGAGGCTCCTCTGGTGCGAGGCCGGCAGGAAGGTCTTAAGGACATCTTACCCTGGAATGAGAAGCTGACGAGTCGTATGGCAAGGAACTAGGAGAACAGCAAAAACCACCACTTGGAATGTATTTATTACTTAAAAGTTAGCTATTCTTGATAAAATCCCAAAAATTATTGCTGCTGCTTATTTTACTTACAGATTTCACACACTTGTTAATTTTAAAGCTACCAAACTTTACTCAATACTGTACTCTGAGAAATGTAATCGGAGCAGGACATGCAATAGAATGAAATCATTGTAGTGTCTTAAGTACCATGGACTCACTTTTGTGTCTATTAAAACTCGGAAAATGTGCAACACCTAACTACGCGGCTGTCGTTGCGTCTGTTCCAGCTGCTTCCTGTCGCCGGCCGCAGCGCCCAGCCGGCGTGGGCAGGTACGTGAGCAAGCAGCCGCCCGCTGGCCTGGATGGGTTTGTGTCCTAAACGCGCGCTTCCAGCTGACTTCCGTGCCCGCGCCTGGCCGACGGGCGTAATTCAGGGCCCTTGAACACACATCGGTGGGTAGAAAGGGTCTTCATCCTTACGTGTGACCAGAAATTATTAGCAGTCTTTAAAAAAAAAAACAGAAAACCAGCAACCTATGGCTTTTGGACCGAATTTAGAGTACAAACAGTTTACCAACTAAAGTGACCCGTGGACAAGCTTTGCAATCTGTGTCAGTTAATTTGGGGGGGGTCGCATTAGTCTCGCTTTCCCTTGGATTCCCTCAGTCCAGAAACGTTAATTTGTGGTAACCTGTTGCTTCTGATGCTGGAGAAGAGAGCGCGGCGTTGTCCCTGCTAGGTGACATGTCTGCCTGTAGAAGGTGGCCTTCGAGCTACGGGACCGCTGCCCAGATTCTGCCTCCTGTCCGCTCTTCATCTGCTGCAGCAAGCGCTGCCGTGAGCTGTTGTCGAGTTAGAAGAACAAGCAAATCGGGAAACAGCAGCTTGTGTTTTCCTGGTTCACGCTGGTTCGTGGTGTGGTCTCCTGAGTGTCAGCAAGAGAGGTCAGAGCTTCCCTTTTCTGTCTAACAACAGCAGAGTTTAACAAGAAGCGTTCAGCCCCCAAAGCCCCCTTCCGCTGCGTCTCAGTAAGAGCATACAGCGGCTCAAGCGTCATTCCCTCGGAACGGTTGGAAGGCCCTGGTACAAAACACGCAGGCTAGAACGTGATGCTGAAGCGGGCCATCTGTCTCCCGAGACCGACTTTGGCCACCTCTGCAAACAAGTCAATAAGCTTCCTGTTTTCCAAAAATAAGCGTGAAAAGGACAGCAGTATGCGGCGGGGGGGTGCCGGCACCCTGTGTGAAGCCTTTCTGAGGCAGTTGTTTACCTGGGCATCTGCTCTGCCCATCTCCGCAGCGGGCTGCGTGGCTGGCGGCGCTGCCCTCGCGCGCTGACTGCCCCCACTCATGGAGAAAACAGTTCTACCTTTCTTAGCCCCTGCCCGCCCGTCTGCAGGAGTTTCTTTGTGGCTGGGTTGGGTTTGTTTTTTTTTTTTTTTCTAGCATCTTCTCGAGCTAGGCCTAGGGTTCGCTGCTGGCCGTGTGAGGTAGTTTTTGTGTTTTCTGCTCACACAGTTCTCGATTGTACAAAATCTCTGCCCCAACGTGTTGCCAAGCCGCCTGGCTGTAGCGGTGCGGCGGTTAGCTGGAGGGAGTTACAAGCAGCCTTCTGTTCGTTTAAAAAATAAAACTTTAAAAAAAAAAAAGTCAAAACAAAAATAAGCAAGCCCCCACTCGCCCACTCTCTCGGGAAAAGCGCCTGCCTACTCCCACCTTCAGCGAAGGCTGCTCCCGCCTGCCTGCAGAGAGGCTGCTCCCTGCTCCAAGGGGACGCCAAGACCGCTGGCCGCTCTCCCGGGTGGGCTGGCAGACGCCACTCGAGTCTCGTCGACGGGCAGAAACGTCCTTCAGCCCAGTCTCTGCTGGGTGTGAGGGAGAATTGGGATACTGCACGCCTGGGGCCACTGGTTTTCTCGAGGCTTGGGACATGAAATGGGTTGAGAAGGTGAGCTTGAGTCCAGCGACCGTCCTCTGGCGCTGGATGTGGTCCCCAGGATGGAGCTGTTTGAGTGGGGATGTCCGAGAGTGCTTTCCCATGGTAATGTGGCTCTGCAGTGAAACCCCCGGTGCACATAAACGTGCCGGGCCAGACGTCTCACCGTACAGCGGAACCTGTCTGCCTTCTGCTTCCACCCTGGGAGTCACTGTCACGTCGTGCTCCGCGATGCTGACGGAGGAGGCCTGGTACCCGCGCCAGAAACATTCCCTCACAGGCTGTGGTGTCCTGCTGGTCCCCTGCCTCCAAGGGCGCAGCTTCCACTGTCCTTACGCCGGGCTGTGTGACGTTCCCATGGTGTGTGACGTTCCCGTGGTGTGTGACCTTCCCGTGGTGTGTGACCTTCCCGTGGCTGGACCCTCCAGAAGGCAAACGGCGGGCTTGTACTGCCTGAGGCCGCTTGCCAGTGCAGAGGCGAAGGGAAAACGTCGGTGTTAGCCCCTCGCCAGGTCCCCTCCCTGCTTCAGAACTGGTTTGCTGCTGTGTTCTGCTGGGAGGGCTGGGGAGGGACCCCCCTCCGAAGAGCCCTGGCAGGCTGCGTGCGCCGGTGCTCCTTTTTTGGTCTTTCAGCCTGGTGATGCCGGCGCCTGGCACGGCCGTGCCCGCGTTAGCGCCGGCTGAAGGAATGGAGCGGGCCAGCGGCGCTGCAGCGCCGCAGGGGAGTCACCGGCGGTTTGCCACTTCGCCGAGAACCACCACAGAGGGGTCCAGGAAAAACCCAAAAACAGAGAAAACGGTGCCCGGG